AATGGGAAAATATCGAAAATCGACCATTCTCGCCTCGCCACTATTTGTATTTGATCTTACCCCTTTTCATTATTCAATGTATCAATATATCGTGCGATCCAATCATACTATGTTAACCTTATCGATTCATTAAAAAAAGTTACGGGCTCTATAGACATACCGTCCGTTCCGGGCTCAGAGGCCGAAAGTTTGACCATGGATACTGATGGATGTCGGATGCTGGAGCCGTAGTTTTAACTTCAACTGCTTCGGGTGCTACACCCGGAACTTTCGGCCTCTGAGCCCGGAACGCGGACGATATATCTATATAGCCCGTAAGTGCGGCTTCCACGGCCGGAGTTTTTTTTTCAGTGTTCAAAAAGCGGGAGAAAATCGAAGGAAACCAGCACAGCACATCGAATTCGACCACAATTCATAATTGAAGGTATTTTTATTTCGGGTGGAGACATCAAATAAATCAAATGGTCCGTCTATACGCGAAGTTGTTCTTCCACTTACGGCGCTTCCTGGTCCAGCGCGCTTCTCTGCTTAGCAGCGGTTGCTCTGTGCATCACCGGCCGGCCATTATCGTCCATTTAGTCCATTCACTTGTCTGTTTACGTTTCCACGTTCACGATTCGCTGATCATAAAAACTGCCCAATTGACACTCCGCCGTGTCAAGCAAAAACGACGAACGCTCCACAGGGTTTCATTGGAGTCACGCGGTTTTTGAAAGCGCCATTGCTCCAGTGGCGTGGCGTGCTTTGCGATATATCGATTGTTATGCCATTTTAACCTATGGAAAAGGATCGATAAACAGGGTTTTCGCAGGAAACACCGTAATAATCGATTCTTTACCATAGGTTTAAATGGCATAACAATCGATATATCGCAATTCACGCCGCGCCACTGCATCGCTCCCACACCCCCTCTCGCCTTCTGCACAGCACCAAATGATGCGTTGTTTTTCTTCGGTGCATCCCGCTCTTCCGATGATGAGTGTGTACCACTACTTTAGTCAAATCGCCTCACTTCTTTATTCGGCACAACGAATTCAATCATTTTCTACTGAAAACTTGACAGAGCTGGGCATTATTACGCCACACTGTTGAAGTATTTTCATTTCTTTTTTGTTTGTTTACTCATTTCACTTATTTTATGTGGCTTCTTGGATACTTACGTTTAATTTGCGTACGCATCATCATAGTGGGACAATAATAGACCGGTAGGACCAGTTAATAGTGTTTGTTTAACGGTACAGTGAGCAGTTTTTATTTTATCGTATCGGTCAATTATCTGCCTCGGGTCGCTGTCTTTTCCCAAGCAGAATTTTGTACCGTACGGAAACTCAAAATGCCCATTTGACTTTAATTCTGTTCGAAATATGCACATTTGTATCGATCCTATGATAGTTTGTTTTCCGATTGGTAGGTATCGTCCATTTACAGTTCGCCTTCACTTTCGCTGCATAGGCAACAAACACACCGGAGAGCGCTAATAGTTATCCACATTGGATCTAGAGTCCAGACTCTTGAAAACGTCGACAAGAAAAAGTACTCTTGATTCAATCAGAATCTATAGCTTTTAAATCAAGAACCAAGCCTCTTAATGTAAGCGGATTTCGTTTTGATTCAAGCAAAAATGCGATTGAATCAAGAGTATTTTTTCTTGTCAATGTTTTCAAGAGTCTGGACTCTAGATCCAATGTGTTTTTTTTCAGTGCAAAAACACACATTCATATAGCTCCATGTGCTTGGAACAACCTTCTGAACCTATTGATAATTATCCTATTGATAATTAAGTCAAAAATTTATAAATATTATCGGTTTGTTGTCGTGCTTTACTTATCTTTTTCCAGCACCCCGCGCTTTTCTCAAAGTTCCATTCTAAGTTTTCTAAGTTTATAGATGATATTTCATCATAGAAACTAGCAAAATCGCAATGTGGAAAATATCCGGTCGTCTTCCTGCCGGCAAAGAACCCACGTATCTTTTTAGGCACAAGCAACTAGACGACCGAATTGTAGTTGAAGCGCACCTCCTCGAAAAATGTCTCGTTACAATTCCCTCTTTTTTTAACAACAGGAAGTTACATGAATGTGCGAAAAAGCATATGTATATGCTTTTTCGCAACATGTTTTGCGGTGTAACCCGAGAAAGTAGAGAGAAAAGTTGCAAAAATCTTGTAAATTGTCAAATGCGTATTATCTAATGTAAACAGTGCGTATTGCAAAAGTGTATTGTCTAATTTATATACATTAGACAATTCGCTTTTGACAATTTACAAAATTTTTGCAACTTTTCTCTCTACTTTCTTAGGTTACAACAATTTCATGAGAGCTTTACAAAACTTTCTTGATCTCTTACGGAAACGAAAAAATTTCCGGAATCACGGGGCACTTAAAAGTTTACTCGTTGATTTCCTGTTATTGGTCAGAACAAAACACTCTCAAAAAGAGCGGTGCAATGCGCAACGCTGACGAGGAAGGGTGTTCCGTATTAACGATTCAACATGTTTTCCAAAAAGAACTTCCGACCTTTTCCAGAGCGATAAAACTTTCAAATGTCCACTAGGGAATACTCGACCGCTTTCGACGCTGTCTCCAAGTCATGATGAAATAAAAGCACACTTCCCACCCGACGCATTTTAAAATAAGTGGATTTTATCGTAAAAGGCGGCTAGGTTCCTGGGTGCCCGAGAAAGTGATTTCCCGATATCCTTAAATCGGATACCAAAATGATGGGGAAGGAGAGAGACTTTCAGATCCCTTCGTAGAAAACACATTTCCCGAAGTGTCCGCACATTAAACACCAATAAAATTCGCTGCTACTTTACAACTTTGAAATCGACCTCGTGGACTAGAGGACGGAGGGTTGAACCGTATGAAATTGGGAAGAATGCAGAGCGGCATTGCTCCGACTTATCATTGAGTTTACCGGTGACCGTTGTGATTTTTCTCTTGTTAATTCTCACTGTTTCATTTTAAGTTCTGTAAATAATGCTTTTAGCTTTTCAGAGTCCGCGCATGAGAAAATGAGTGTCTAATTTAGCAGTGTTCGAAACTCACCTTCGAGTTTTAGGAGCCGAGTGGCGCATCAAGCCCGATTTTTAGGCGCCGTTGAAGATTTTTTAGGGGTCAAATTGACTTTTTGCCTATATATGACGGCGCATTTAGTGAAAAGTTAGATCCAAGATGTTTTCGTAACAGAGTTAGTAAATAGCTGTAACTTGGGGATGACAAAATCACAAAGGATGAAATCGTGAAGAATAGAAAAAAGCTTACTCTTGTAGTGCTGAAAATTTCGAATGATCACCTGATACATATGAAAATTCAGATTTTTAGGGGGAAATTTTTAGGGGCCACGTTGGCGCAGAGCCTTCACTTTTTAGGCGCAATTGCCGTTTTTTTAGGCGCATTTGGCGCGTTGGCGCCTGTGAGTTTCGAACACTGGTCTAAAGAAACCTGAATGATAGTATAAATACTCACAGATTTCTCAGAAATGTACTCACCCCAAAGAACATTAAGAGATCCATGATTTTTGAACATTTTAATCGCCTCTATCAACTTTGATATTATACCTAAGAAAAATTTTTTGTGAAAAAAAGCGAGTGAAAAACATGTATGAGTAAATTTTTTCTGCACTAAACACAAATGATAAGTTGCGTCCTTCTCAAACGCTGTGTGCCTTTTCCGGCCGGTATCGTTAACCTGCTGAGGATGTATACCGAGTTGCTTATCTCTTCAGGGGCTTTCGGAGCTTAACCCACCGGAGGGTGGCATCTGACATCAGAACCAACCCCCATCAAGCCTTGTAATGTATCACACCACACCCTCGTTTCTGTGAGAGCGATGATCGGTCATCTTCGCTCTGGTTGGAGTTGGCATCAGTTTTGCAAGTCTCCAATTTCATTTCTATTCGTTTAACTCTTTTCACAGCCACCTATCAGACATTCAGTTTAAGGAGTGAACGTATCTCCATTGATGATGTGGGTTGGTTCATTTTTTCAGGTGAAAGATACTTCAGATTTTGTCAATTTTTGAATGTTAGGAACGACTCAATAATTCAGTTCAAAACGTCACCATCAGCTGAAATCCTAGAGTTGTTTCCTAGTTGAGTTTTTGTTAATAATGAAAAAGGCTCGAAAAATTGATGGATTTTTCCTATTTTACTGATTTTTTTTTCGAGTGCTCACACTATACTATCAAAAATAAGGAGACCTGAATAATACAAAATGAAACACAGATTGTCTGCAGGTCTAGAAAACCGGGAATTGTCAGGGAAATTTCCTCGGGTCACGGAATTTAGGGAATAAATGTCAGGGAATTTCATGAAAAAGACTGGAAATTTGAAAACTATTGAAACTTGAAATGTGCGGACGTGATTCGCCGCTGATAATTAATGCTGTCATTGGCCCGAGAGGAATATTTGGCATCAAAGTTTCTAAGTAGCTCACCGAAATACCCGGTTTAACAGGTCCTCTTGGTCTCGCTTAAAAATCCATGGAGCCAAGATTTGTCGAAAGTTGGTAGACAACGGAGATACCAATAGTGCTCTGTCATTTTGAAGGCTGCCGTTTCCAAAATTATCCAAACATTCTACACTCATTCTTTACGCCCCAAGGAACCCCTGGAAATAGGTGGATCCAAGGGGGTGTAAGGGGGCGTAAGGTTGTCCCCCCCCCTCCACTATCGCCCGAAAAAAATATACAGTAAGATTAAGTAAGGGACGGAGGAAAGGAAAAGGAAAGACACTTATATTTGCTATTTATTCATGACGAAATTGACTCAGACTGCATTCTTGATGCTTCAAAAATTCGAAAATTTTCTGGCGGAGACTCCCCCCGACCCTCCTTACGCCCCCCCTCGTTCGAGATATCTGGATCTGCCCATGCCTCTGGATACCAAGTTGTAGTCCAGTTCGTCCAGAAATAACTGAATGACATGAAATTGAATGAATGTTTGTCTAATCTGATATATGTGTGCACAACCTAATGATTGGATATTTCTTTTGTGTTGCAGGCCGAACGCGACGGTGCTCGAGCAATTTCAACTAAGTATATCTAGGATGGAAATGTACAAAGAGGACGATCCCTTAGTCGAGAGGCTCCTTGACAATATGGCCAAAAACAAAATCGTCCACGTCAGTAAGTAGCCTTTACAGTTATTTCCATCTCCGTTTTCCTTTAGCCAGAGGCCTTTTAATTTTCACTTTCATAAATTAATTTTGTTTATTATTTAAACAACAGGTGTTATTATAAAGGATCGATTGCTCAGCTAGCACAGCTAGCCAAAGAGGGCAGAGGGCTTCGCCCTTTTTGCCGGGGGCGTTTGGGGCCAAGAAATACGTTTATTTGTTAATCTGTATCATCAAAAGAGAGAGGCGAAAGAGGATTTAAAGGTAATGATCACTTTTTGACGTGACCTCTGGAAATGCATACTCATCATATCGAAAGAGAAAAAAAAATTGAAATGAAGTGAGGAGGATGAATGCATCCTATACCGGCATTGCTTATTGTTTGGTCGGGTTTGGTTGCGTTTCGTAGTAAATGAATTGTAAACAAGTGAACGAATCAATGATTACGTGCTGCACCTGTTATGATTACTGCTGCACCCAGTTGTCACTCATTTATACACCATTTATGTGCTCCCGCACACTTGTATGTCGCGAGGGAGAGTGGAGTTTTTGCCAAGAGATCCTTTCCAGGATTATGCATGATTGATTTTGTTAAGACTCGTGTCGTTATATCATGTTCAAACAATCATCGTTTTCAAGCCTTCTTCAACCAAAGCTATGTAACCTTTCAGTTGTAAACATAAAAAGATAATATTAATCTGACTGCAACCGATAGCTCACTACCGTCTCGCGACGATTGGAAGTATTACTTTCCAAAAGTGTGCTGCAGGATTATTCACTACATCATTGTCTTTAACGTGAAATTTGCTTCCGTTAGGGGCCGTCCAAGTATTACGTAAGGAATTTCGGTCAACTTTTTGTCCTCCTTCGTTGCAAAGCACCCGTA